CCTTATATTGTAAAGCACTGCGCAAACTGTTGGCGCTATATAAATCCTGTATTATAATAATAATAATAATAATAATAATAATAACAATGGGGTCCTAACACCATGTTACAAGGTTCAGTATTTCAGAAAGTACTGGTGCCTATTTTTCTCTACAGTTTTCCTATGCACTTGATTTTGTGATCTGTGACAAATGGAAACAAATCAGAGTTCAGATTGGCCAATTCTGCTGTTTATCACTGATAATGTGACCAAATGCCTTCAGATGTGTGGTCAACAATGTAGGGCACTTAAAATTTTTGCTCACACACACACTAAATGGATTAAGACCCCCTACTGTTAAAGTGACACTAAACTAAGGAGTTTAACCTTAAAAACACATTCAAGTACCCTAACTATTAACAAAAATGTATATTATTTGCGTATCTTTTGGCTGTAGATCCTCAAATCATCTCTGAATTGGTGCTGACACTGTCCTTCCCTCTGGAGGGGGGTCTACTTTTATTTCCCATGGTCCCTGTGTGTGTTGTAAACTAGCCACCACTCCAAGCTCACTCCCTTCATAGACTACAATCTCACGTTTAGTTAGCAAATTTGTATTGAGATTGTAGTCCATGAAGGGAGTGAGCTTGGAGCTGTTGCTACTTTACAACACACACAGGGACCATGGGAAATAAAAGTAGACCCCCCTCCAGAGGGAAGGACAGTGTCAGCACCAATTCAGAGATGATTTGAGGATCTACAGCCGAGTGATACACAAATAAGATACATTTCTATTAATAGTTAGGGAATGCATTTTTTTAGATTTAACTCCTGAGTTTAGTGTCACTTTAAGTGATTCAACCTGTCACCATTCATCACTGAAATACTGCATTCATATTGTATATAAAAATTTTGTATCTCATCACTCAATATTCACAACAATGACCCTTTCCTTTGTAAGTAATTTCATGGCAGTTATGAAAATCATTCACACAACAAAAGGCATTTTCACCACCGACATAGTTGAAGTTGAAAAATCTGTCAGATATAATGTTATAGCTAAAAAACGACCTGCCCACTCTATTCATATGATGGTAAATAAAACTGACAATTAAAATAATATTCCCATTATCGTTGTATTCAGAACTGTAAACATCCACTGCAATGCTTTGACAAATTACAATTTATACTTTGATGACTGCTAATGCTGTTAATAGCAGACTGAAGCACTTTAAAGGTCTACCAGGTTTGATAGCTGAATTTCACAAGAGGTTATAGTAAACAGCCAAGCTTAATGTGTTTCATTCTGGGACACCTAATGTTGCTCAAACCTTTAGAATATTTTTTAAAATAAAAGCTTTTCACCATATTTGCATTTAGCTATTTTCTCTGGGCAGCTCCTGTGTTCAGTACGCTACATGCATTTGCAGTCAAATAAACAAAAGAATATCTTACGATGTTCAGATGGTAGCATGCATCAATGCATATGCCTGTTGTTTCCAACACGTGGTTTCCATAGAAACGACTGTGAAAAAATATTGCTCTGCTTTTTTTTTTTGTAAATGTTATATTATTCTTACCTGAAAAGCAGGGGTTTGCAAATTTTAAAGTAGACCTCCTATTTAATTAAACGGCAAATATTTTTTAATTATATGTTTCGAATGCGTATATACTCTGTAATTATGTCAATATTTTTAAACAGCTTAGAAGAGAACTATGGATACAATTTTTTCCCATAGTTCTCTTTAGGGCCCGGGAGGACATATATAGTAACGTCCTTCCATGACCCAAAACTCAGTATATAGCTGGGCTATTGCCCGCTATATGCTGAGAGTGCTGTAGCCATGACGGATCCTGACAATACTGTCAAGTTCCACCCCGCTGGCTGATTGACAGCTATGCCCACCCCCGTGTTCTGTCTTTCCCTGCAGTCAGAGCTGGAGGATCAGAAAGGCGAGGCGGGAATCCCTGCTTGACTGCAAATACCGTCTTTCTAATCATCTGCTACATCCTGTTGTCTGCTGTAACCTGCTGCATTCAATAAAGATCTTCATGGATGAGAAGGTATTTGGTGAGTTCAGCTATCTAATGAGGATTGTCCGCATTAATTATATCTGCTTATACAGGCCAGGCATAGAGGTCTCAGCAAGGGATAAATCACTAATACAACGGTTGGAGTCACAATACTCACCAGCAAACTGGAGCTGCCCCGAACAATACTTCTTTCCTGACACAACGTACAAGGCATTGTGCCTTGTCAGCACATGGACAGACTGGGGTTGATTTACTAACCTTATAAACACACCACGAACATGTATACACCTCTGTAGTGTGTTCCCTCCCAGCATGATCTATGGGTGGAATCTAAACACCTTTGTAGTGTGTACACACCCAGCAGGTGTGTTGTGCAAAGCCTTGCATGAATTGCAAGGTGATGTTGTGTAAATTAGCTCTATGTTGTGTTGCTTGCTTTGATGAATGCAGGAATGTAAATGCATGAGCTAACCATTTTTGTCTAAACTGTGAAGCAGCATTATATATGCATCATGTGCATGATTTTTACATATATGGCATTAGTGGAAATATGCTTTTAGAGACTTTTTGGTGGATAAATACGTTTTGCTGTGTGAAAATCACACGCAGCTGGTGCGTGCGTGTGTTTAGGTTAGTAAATCACCCCCACTGGGTCCGTGTGTAGTTATTTTTTCTTCCAATTTGAGCTCTGCTGTACAAGGATAGCAAGAAGCTATTAAGGGCCATACACATCTCCCCACCCAGCTCTTATCAATCTGAGATGCTCTAGCTGGTGTCCCTCCGGCTCCTGGCAACCAGTAATGTCAGTGGGAGGGATGCCAGCCAGATGATGCAGAGTACCTCCCCCCACCCTTCCCCAGACTCCAGCCTTATCTTTCGTCTTTCACAGTTGTACGGGGTTCTCTCCTGTACTGAAGTTGCTTACTCTGATTTCATTGCACACTGTGAGCTTCTCGCAGCATGCACTAGAAGCTGCAGCAAGTCAAAGTCCATCCTTTTTTTCTAGCTAGAGGTCATTCAGCATCATTTTGCTCTTTCTTCCCCAGTATGACTGTCCCTGGCCCAACCCTTTCATTTACTGGATTTAATGTCTTTCATCCACAGAGGCACAGCATCACAAGTATGTGTTACCTGGGGTGGTATGCATGCAAATACATTCTGCCTAGGAATGCCTACTACTCCAAACTAATACACACCCATCAAGGCATTTAGATATTTGCATAACTCCTCCCAAGAACCAGCATCATTATATTAAAAGAAGTATTGAGCCAGGGTGCTGTGATGTTTACAGGAAACTATGTAGCACCCTGCCAATCCCTCCCACGAGCCATCATCTTGCCTGCATTGCATAGAAAAGCATCTAGTGATGATGTCACTGGCTCTCAAATAAAATATGTACTAAAAACAGAACAGTTATATTTAATAATGTAATTAGCATGTTGTTGATGGGGAGAAAGGAGGAACTAGGGAAAACAAAATATAAGAAAATTAAACTTCAGCCTTAAGGGTTACGGGAAGACATATACTAGCATCCCTCAAAACTCGGTATATAGCAGGCTATTGCCCGCTATATACTGAGAGCGCCGCAGTCAGGACGGATCCAGACAATGCTGTCGAGATCCACCCAGCTGGCTGATTGACAGCGGGCTATGCCTATATAGAGGCAGAGCCAGCTGTGCCCGCCCCTCTTCCGTCCGTTCCTCCAGTCAGCACTGGAGGATCCGAGAGGGGAGGGGGGAATCCCTGCGGGGAGCCGTGGCTGACAGTCACCGCTCTCTGCAGGGAGATGATCGGAAAGTGAGCAAGCGACGGTATGTGTTCGCTCACTTCCCGATGTATTGAGCCGACGTGTGACAGTTTCATTGTCACACGTCGGTTCGAACTATGAGGATGAGTGGAAATCACTCACCTCACAGTTCTCCTTTAAAGAAATTGTACTGTAAGACATTGCACACCTTTGGTTGTCATGTACCTGGAATGTATTTAGCTAATTTATCTGAAAGCTCAGCAGGACTTTAAAGGAAGCCTGTGCTGAGGGGTATATGTAGGTTGTTATTGTTGACCTTCTTCCAAGTGTTAGTTGCCCAACTAGGTCATAGGCTCAGAATAGTATACTGCTAATAAATAATATTATCCTTAATGGATTTGGTCCATCCTTAATTCTAACTTGGCCAGTAGCGCATTCTCATTCTGTGATAATAGAACATCATAGAACAATTGTAGAATTCACTCTGTTTTGAAAACTATGCTCACTTCCTGCCCTTACCCCAAAATTGCGCTAATATTTTTGTATATATTTTATTTTTTTACAATATCTTCCAAATAAAGTTTGCACAACTTAGCACAAGAATGAAGCCATCTGTTATGAAATTTAAAACAGCTGCTGTCTGATTATGCCGTGCTTCACTGAAGCCAAATTATTAAACTTGCAAGCCGTAAATAGTTTTTTCTAATTAAAATAATGCTTGGTTACTTAGATTTTACATAGCGATTGTGCCCAATTTTGTGGCAACCGGAAAATTATTACAGAGCTGTAATATTCAAGATCTGTGTTAATATAATTGCAACGCATTAATTATCTGGCCCGGTTTGAAGATTCATTTCTATAGACTAGTAAAAGCCTGAAACTGCATTATAGATACTTAACACCAGTGGGGAAATTGTGTTTTTCAGCTATTCAGCATAAGGAATGAACTGGAAAAATTGTTAGCGTAACAAGAGGGTAAAAAGAGGAAGCACTTAAAGTGACCCTGACAGTTACACAGTTACATAGTTACATAGTATTTGAGGTTGAATAAAGACATTAGTCCATCATGTCCAACCTATTAGGATCTCATTCTAGGAGTACCTGTACCCCTGTATATTACCTGTACCCCTGTATATTACGGTCCCTTAAGAAATCGTCCAAACGTTTCTTGAACAATTCCACATTATTTGCTGAAATCACCGCCTGTGGCAGTGAGTTCCAGACCCTAACTGATCTTACTGTGAAGAACTCCCTTCGCCCCTTGTGCTGGAATTTTTTTTCCACCAATTTTAGGTGATGGCCTCTAGTTTTTGTAACGGAGTTAATTTTAAACAGTTTATCGCTAATGTTGCTACCACCATTGAACATTTTGTACATGGAAATCATATCCCCCCTTAATCTCCTCACCTCTAATGTGAACATGTTTAAATTTAG